GATCACTTGAGGTCAGGAGTTTGAGACCAGCTTGGTCAACATGGCAAAACCCCATCTCTACTAAAAACACAAAAATTAGCTGGGCATGGTGGTGGGCACCTGTAATCCCAGCTACTCAGGAGGCTGAGGCAGGAGGATCGCTTGAATCTGGGAGGTGGAGGTTGCAGTGACCCAAGATCCCGTTGCTGCACTCCTGGGTGACAGAGTGAGACTGTTTTTTTAAAAAAACCAAAAACAACAACAACAACAAAAAACCACCCCCACCACCAAAAAAAAGAGAAACAGAATCACATGTACATGGAGAATTGGCGTATGATAGAGGTGGCATCACAGATCAGAGGGGAAAGGCAGGTACAATAAATATATGTCAGGAATTGTCGTTCACTCTGCAGAAAAACAAATAGATTTAAATAAAATTTAAATTTAAATTTATTTTAGAGACGGAGCCTCGCTCTGTCACCCAGGCTGGAGTGCAGTGGCATGATCTCGGCTCACTGCAATCTCTGCCTCCCAGGTTCAAGCGATTCTGCTTACTCAGCCTCCCAAGTAGCTGGGATTACAGGTGGCCGTCACCACATCTGGCTAATTTTTGTATTTTTCGTAGAGCTGGGGTTTCACCATGTTGGCCAGGCTGGTCTCAAACTCCTGACCTCAAGTGATCGACCTGCCTTGGGCTTCCAAAGTGCTGCGATTACAGGCATGAGCCGCTGCGCCTAGCTGAAATTTATTTAAATAATATATGATAATGTATAATTATATTGATACATAACAAATATATTAATATTTACTGACTATAAAGATTTAAATAATTTATTTCAATGAATTAAAAAATCACAACAATATAAAAAAAAGAAATGCCAAATAGTTTTAAGACTATAAAACTACTAATAGGAAATCTAGAAGAACTACTTTTTTTTTTTTTTTTTTTTAAGACAGAGTCTTGCTATGTTGCCCAGGGAGGAATGCAGTGGTGTGATCGTAGCTCATTGCAGCCTTGACCTCCTGGGCTCCAGTGATCCTTCTGGCACAGCCTCCCCAGTAGCTGGGACTACAGGCATGAGCCACCATGCCCAGTTAATTGTTTTTTAGAGACAGGACTTCACTATGATGCCCAGAGTGGGTCTTGAACTCCCGATGTCAAGTGATTCTCCCACCTCAGCCTCCCAAAGTGTTGGGATTACAGGCATGAGCCCCTGCACCCGGCTAGAAGAAACATCTTTATAAGCTTGGAGTGGTACTGTAGTTGAGAAAAATAACAACTGCACTGGCAGCTTCTCCCAAAAGGAGGTGGGGGATGTGGTCTGTTTTGGTCCATTGGGCTTAAACAAATGTGAAGAAGGAGAGGCTTGGAAAGCCCAGGTCCACCAGGCTTGCCCTCTCCTGCTACTGGAAACCCGGAGCCACCATGGGTGGAACCCCGGGCTGCCCTGTTGGAGGGTGAAAGGCCGTGTGGAGTAAGAGGCCGAGCCGCCCCAGCTGGGGCCGTGATGTGAGACCCCCAGATCATCCAGCCCCCGCCCATCAGGCCCCGTTCAGAAGAAGCAATCAATCCCACAGCAATGAATCATTGTTGGCTTAAGTCACTGTGCTTTGGTGTGGTTTGTTACGTAGCAAAAGCTAACTGATTCAAGCAGGGCACAAAAAGTGTAAATCTCAAAGGAAAAATTAATGAATGTAACAACATCAAAAGTAAACACCCTAGATGAAAGGTAACAGACAGGAGATGGGCTGGAAGAAAATATTTTGCAGAACCAGGACCGAGGATTAAAATGTAAAAAATCTAAGGACACTTGCAATTGCAAAAAAAAAATTTGAAGTAGGCAAAAAAAGCATGAATAAGAAATGCAGAGAAGTAAAACTGGAGTAGTTAATAAATAGGCGAAGAGACTCTCAAACTCATGAGTAATCAAAACAATACAGATTATGTTAACATTGAGCTGTTCCCTTACAACTATTAGAATGGCAAGAAATAAAAAGTTGTATAATATCAAGTGCTGACAGGGACATGGGGAAATGAAACTCCTCATTACACTGCAGATGGGCAGGAGTCACCTTCTGTTGTCATTTGTGAAGGTCAGTTGGGAAGCATTTTGTGAAAACATGCACATATGTATACTGTCGTGTGATCCAGCAGTGCAGTTCCTGGGTGATATCCCAGAGAATCTTTCTGACAGACACACAAAGAGGTTTATGCCAGTTTGCAGTAGCATCATCTGCCACTGTAAGCTATCCTTTAGTGGCAGAGTGGATAAGGAAAATGTGGTATATTCACAGGATGGGAAAACCAGAAGGCAGCCAGGGCAGTAAGTAAGATTTACTTCTATCAACATGGCTAGATCTCAAAAACATGTTGAATGAAGAAAATCAGTAGAATGAGATGTCTAGCACAATGCCTACTGGTAAATTAAAGTCTATATTATATAGATGATGTTAAGTATATGAGGTATGGAAGGCAGTTGGAAGAACACACCTTAAAACATAGGCACTGCCGGATGCAGTGGTTCACACCTATAGTCCCAGCACTTTGTTAGGCTGAAGGCAGGAGGACTGCTTGAAGGCAGGAGGATTGCGTGAGGCCAGGGGGCTCAAGACCAGCCTGGATTGATATTGGGTGAGAACTCCATCTCTAAAAAAAATTTAAAAACAGCTGGTGGTATGTGCCCTGTGGTCCCAGCTCCTCAGGAGGAGCAGGAAGGAAGGATCACTTTTGAGCCCAGGAGGCTGAGATTGTAGTGAAGCTGTGGATCACGCCACTGCACCTCCAGCCTGGGTGACAGAGCAAGAACCCCTGTCTCAAAAAAAAAAAAAAAAAAAAAAAGAAGTAAACTAAATCCTGGGTACCCATGGGAAGAGAAGTAAAGATTGGCATGGGTCATTAAAAGACTATAATGGAAACCCAAATTCAGAACATTTGTTTCACTGTGGGTATCCACTGCTTATGATGACTGCATGAGTTTTACGGATAGAGCTGTGGTATGGAAAACCAAGCAGAAAAAATATAAACAAAAAGGAAGAGCCTCCTCTAGGTAAAAAGGATACAAAATACAGTGACTTCCCCCAATTTTGGCAACGTTCTGCTAGTGTCACTAATATCACTATTAACCTGTAACTCTAAATGGATACCCAGCGGAAATCAAAACAAGACAAAAGGCATTGTTCTCCTTCTTAAAGGAAGAATCTATGTGGGGAAAAACCCCAGGCTTGTTGTTTAAATCATGTAATGAAAGGCATCGTATTAAACCCTTTACTGGTTTCTACATTGCATCCTGCTCTATGGCCTTGCTGCTTTTTAACAACCACTTGTTTAAAGATAAAATCAGTATCTATTCAGGGCCTCATACAATTATACCTCTTTTGAGCATAATGTATTTCATCTACTTTATATCCAAAGGTGAAACTAAAACTATTTTATATTCTTACCTGAGAAAACCACTCGTGCAAGAATCAAGGTGGTGTTCTCTGAGTTTAGGATTTTTCCTGGCCCCAGTCCTGTTACTCTGGTTACCACCGGCTAAGCTTTTCATAGCCATTTGAGTTTGTGAACACACAGAGTAACCCGGATAAGACTCTGGGTGCGAGTGTGGTGGGCTGGGGTGGGAACTGTGTCAGCACAGGGATAGACGGAAGTCAAGGAACTTCTGTGGGGAGCTGATGAGATCACCCAGAGTTTACACTGTCAGCATCTGACCTCAGAGTTGGTGGCCTGGGATCAGGAATGAGTCACAAATTAAGAATAGCATAGTGGAGGCCGGGCATGGTGGCTCATGCCTGTAATCCCAGCACTTTGGGAGGCTGAAGCGGGCAGATCAACTGAGGTCGGGAGTTTGAGACCAGCCTGACCAACATGGTGAAACCCTGTCTCTACTAAAAATACAAAAATTAGCCAGGCGTGGTGGCTGCCTGTAACTCGCAGCTACCCAGCGAGGGCTGGGCAAGAGAATCGCTTGAAAGCCGGGAAGGCAGAGGTTGCGGTGAGCCAAGATTGCGCCGTTGCCACGCCCGCCTGGTCATGGTGAGCGCAGATCGCGCCATTGCACTCCAGCCTGAGCAACAAAAGTGAACTCAGGTCTCAAAACAAAAAAAAAAGAATAGCACCAGTGGAAAGAGACGATGCTCAGGTTTGGGTGTAGCAGGGGCTCCATTTCACAAAGGAAACTGTTTTCATATGAAGGGAAAATTCCTAACAAAGACACATCGAACTCAGCCTAATCGATTGGAAACAACTGGTTCACCAGTGGCTCAGCTTGATTGCCCAGATGTGAGCATTCCATGAAGGCGCAAACAGCTGATTTCATTAAGAAATACTCAACTTAACTAGGATTTCCTTTAGTTTGGTTTGCTTTGTCTTTACTCTTAATTACTCCATACAAGGTCCCATTTCTGTAATCGTAAGAAATCCTCAAAAGTCAGTTGGATGCCAAGTTAAAACTAAGAAGACCTGGGGAGGATCCGGGTTGCAGTGGCTCTTGCCTGTAATCACACGGCCAGCACTTTGAGAGGCCCACAACCCCAGTGTGGATCATTTGACGTCAGGCTACTCTTGAGCGCTAGCCTTGCGACCACACATGGCACGACAACCTCATCTCTACTAAAAATTAACAAAAATTAGCCAGGCCGTCAAGTGGCCATGTGCGCTGTAAGTCCCACACGCTACTCGGGAGGCTAAAGCAGGAGAATTGCTCTGAAGCCAGGAGGCGGGAAGGTTGCACTGAGCCGAGATCGCATCATTGCACTGCCAGCCTGAGTGAGCAGAACAAACTCTGTCAAAAAAAAAAAAAAAAAAAAAGAAAGAAAGAAAAAAACAAAAACCTCAGAATGATGAGTGGGAAGAAAAGTGGGGTGGGCTAGTCTGTTGGATTAGTAGGCTTACAGGGAATTTTTCTCCTTGTTTTAAATTGTTAATATTGCTGTTATTAAGTTGAGCAATAAATAATCTCTTCTAAATGTAAGCATTCCTTAGGGAAAAACAAACAAACATGCTAACCTTTCCTCTCCATCACGCTGTGGGGAAGCTTCACAGGTTCCTTAAGGAGACTATAATCAAACCACTTTTTTCTTGCTCCTCATAAGGTTTAACTAGGGGCAAAAGAGGACAAGAAAAATAATCAGAGCCATAATTGGTGGGTAGATGGAAACAGAGTCCTAGGGTTGGAAGCAATCTTGGAAATATGTTTTGCCCACCCCCTCAGCTCTTGGGCCACACCTAAACTCTTAAAGCCCTCAGGAATTTACTGTGCTGAGGACCGCCAAGGACAATGCCTAATCTGTCTTAGAAACTCATTCTAGTGTCTAAGAATACTTACTGGCAGGAAATTCAACTTTGTGAGTAAATTCGGGCTCCACTCCCATCCATTTCCTCTGGCTCTGATTTCGGGTGGAGATGGGCCGCAGCTGGACACACATCCAAGCACACCCAGCAAACACACGTGAAGGTTGTTACCAAAATAGCCCCCTCCTGTCCTCACCTCAGCTTTCTCTGCTCTGGGTTAAATGATCCCAGCCCCTGTATGGGTTAAATGATCCCAGAAATCTCTCCTGATTGATTTCATTATCTGAACTTAGACCTACCTGTGCCTAACCTTCGACCAACAGTCTAGTAGGGGGTTCACCACTGGCTCTAGGGTGATCAACTGTGCCAGCTTGCCAGAGGTTGCCCAGGTTGTGGAACTTTTAGTGCTAAAACCGGGAAAGTCCCAGGCAAACTGTGATGAGCTGGCCTAGCTAGTTCTCTCTGGGGAAAAAAATGAAACCACCGGAGGAATGGTCTTCACTGCTAAAATGGAATGTTTTAATTAATGAAGGACATGTCATGAATGTGGAGACAGAACCATCTGAAAAGCTGCTGTGGTTTGAAGGTTCCTCCAAAACTCATGTTGAGACATAAGGGCCATCCTAACAGTATTAAGAGGTGGAGCCTCTAGAGAGGTGATTAGATCATGAGAGCTCTGCCCTCATGAGTGGATTAATGCCATTATTGAGGGAATGGTTAGTTATCACCTGAGTTGGTTCCTGATTAAAAGGATGAGTTTGGCTGGGTACAGTGGCTCACGCCTATAATCCCAGCACTTTGTGAGGCCAAGGCAGGAGGATCACTTGAGGTCAGGAGTTCAAGACCAGCCTGGCAAACATGGTGAAACCCCGCCTCTACTAAAAATACAAAAATTAGCCAGATGTGGTGGCGGGCATCTATAATCCCAGCTACTTTGGAGGCTGAGGCAGGAGAATTGCTCAAACCTGGGAAGCGGAGGTTGCAGTGAGCCAAGATTATGCCACTGCACTCCAGCCTGGGCAACAGAATGAGACTCCATCTCAAAAAAAAAAAAAAAAGAATGAGTTTGGCCCAATTTGATCTCTCTGTCTTGGGTGCTCACTTGTTTTTCTGCCACGTGATGACGCAGCAAGAAGGCCCTTGCTAGATGCCAGTGCCATGCTTTTGGACTTCCCAGCCTCCAGAAATGTGAGAATAAATTTCATTTATTTATAATTTACCCAATCTCCAATATTTTGTTTTACTTAAAACAAGTAACAGAAAACAGACTAGGAAAGGGCCACGTTTGTTGTCCTATCTCAGCACAAACCCCTGTCTGGAGGGGACGAACACGATGTCTGCTTCACTGCATGCAGCCTGTACCTGTCCCCTACCACTGTCACCTGGGTGCATGGGCAGCCCTGGGGATGCAACACTTATAGCTCAAAAAAATAATCAGGTGCACAAATCTAAAGTGTGTGAGGGGGAGGAGAAACAGGACATGAAAAGAGTAGGGGGGAATGCCACAAACAAGAGAAAATAGCCTAACAGGCTGAAGCAAAAGCAAGAGGGAGAATACAGTTAGAAACATACCCAGTGAGAGGAAGAAATTGGTGAAGGAACAAAAAACATGAGAAGGAAGAACATGAGAGGCACGAAGAAAAGTCCGTGATGGTAAGAGAAGTAGAAGATACACCTGCCACGCTCGCGCCCTTGGACCACCAGGCAGAATCACTGAGCCATTGCCCAGCCCACCCCTCTTTGTATTTTCTCACACCCTTTCGAATGGTTCCGGGACCCTTGGATTTCATGGTCCAGGAAGAAAAAAGTAAAGACTAACGTAAAGCTGCAAAGAACATGAAACTTAAAAATATCTTCTCCTATGATCATTACTTCTAAAAGCAAAGGACATTGTACATCCTCAGAGGAAAGAGCATTACTTCCCAAGAAAGAAGACTGTCCGTGGCCACTAAATGCCACCCTGCACACACAACATTCTCTTCACTTCTCCCGTTTGTCAAGGAATGCTGAAAACTTTGTCACAGACTGGTGCCAGGTCTTACCCTAGCATTTGAGAGGCACTGCTTTAGGGAACCTGGGAGTTTAGCCGCACAGTTCTGTAGAGAAATGGTGGCAAGCTAACATATGTCGAGCACTGACCATTGCCTGCCCCTGTACACAGTCATTATCTCCTAAAATCACCTCAATAACCCAGTTCTAATTAGTCTTCCTATTTCAAATAAGGAAATTGAGGCTCAGAGATGTTGAGAATCACACCCATAGTCAAGTGGTAGAGGAAGGTTTTAATCCAAGTCACTTGACTTCAGGGCCAACCTTTTTTTATTTTTGTTTTTTATTTTTTTGAAAAAAGTCTCACTCTGTCACCCAGGCTGGAGTTCAGTGGCAAGATCTCGGCTCCCTGCAACCTCCAACTCCCAGGTTCAAGCAATTCTCGTGCCTCAGCCTCCCAAGTAGCTGGAATTACAGATGTGCACTACCACACCTGGCTGATTTTTGTATTATTTATAGAGACGGGGTTTCAGCATGTTGGCCAGGCTTTTCTCAAACTTCTCGCCTCCAGTGATCCGCGTGCCTCAGCCTCCCTAAGTGCTGGGATTACAGGTGTGAGCCACCATGCCTGGCCTCCAAACTTTTTTAAATTAAAATTTTTGGAGACAGGATTTTGCTCTGTTGCACAGGCTGGAGTGCAGTGGCATGATCACAGCTCTAAATCCTGGGCTCAAGCAATCCTCACCTCAGCCTCCTGAGTAGTTAGGACTATAGGCCTGTGCCACCATGCCCAGGTCATTTTTTTAATTTGTACAGGCAGGGTCTTACTATGTTGCCCAGGCTGGCCTCGAACTCCTGGCTTCAACTGATTCTCCCCACTCAGCCTCCTAAAGTGCTGGGATTACGGGTGTGAGCCATCACATCAGGCCCAAGCAAACATTTTAAACCACGATGCTGCACATTACAAAGCTGCTTCTTCACAGGAGCCTCCTGGAGTTTCTGAACAGACTGAAAGGATTTCATAAACTCTACATCCGTTTTTTGTTTGTTTGTTTGTTTGTTTGAGACACGGTCTCATTCTGTTGCCCAGGCTGTAGTGTGGTGGTGTGATCATAGCTCGCTGCAGCCTTGACTTCCTCGGGCTCCGGTGCTTCTCCCATCTGAGTAGCTGGGTCTGCAGGCACATGCCAGCATGCCTGACTAACTTTTGTATTTTTTGTAGAGATGGAGTTTTGTCATGCTGCCCAGGCTGGTCTCAAACTCCTGGTCTCAAGCAGTCCTCCCGGCCCGGCCTCCCAGAGTGCTGGGATTACAGGTGTGAGCCAACTCGCCTCCCCTCTACATCAGTTTTGGGTGTGCCGCCTACTGAAAAAATGCGAGCATCTGACTAAGACAATCTTTCCTGAATCAGAAACGCTTAAGAGATTTAAACCCCGTGATGGCTGTGTCTCTTCTGGCCTCGTCCCCAGCTGGGTTCACTGCTGGGTCTGACGCCTCTGTCCTGGCACTGTGTCAGCTCCCCACTTTATACCCAGGGTGGGGGCCTGTTCTCTCAAGCTGCTATTCCTATCTGTGTTTGTTCAGAGGCTTCCTTCCTGGCTCTCTTTTTACTTTAAGATCTTCCCTTTTCAGCAACCTTTGCCTTGATGTCTAATTCCAATTGTAACTTAAAATCAGAACCACAGAAAGATATGATCAGGTAGAAGTTGATTTCTTTTCTTTTCTTTTCTTTTCTTTTTTTTGAGACAGAGTTTTGCTCTTGTTGTCCAGGCTGGAGTGCAATGGCACGATCTTGGCTCACCGCAACCTCCACCTCCCGAGTTCAAGCGATTCTCCTGCCTCAGTCTACCAAGTAATTGGGATTACAGGCATGTGCCACCACGCCCGGCTAATTTTGTGTTTTTAGTAGAGACAAGGTTTCTCCATGTTGGTCAGGCTGGACTCAAACTCCCGACCTCAGGTGATCTGCCTGCCCCAGCCTCCCGAAGTGCAGGGATTACAGGCGTGAGCCACTGTGCCCGGCGTAGAAGTTGATTTCTTATATTTCTTTACTAGAGACTTGGTTCTCGTAGGACAAATCTGTGGAAAAAAGTTGAAGCCTCTGAAATCATTCACAGAGGATTAAGTGACTGGTAAACGAGACGTTGGTCTTTCCTCCTACTGAAACCAAGGTCTTCTCAGTGTATTAATATTGTATCTATTCACCACTTGCTAATTCCGTTTTACTAGAAATCTAATAGTGAGAGAAGCTTCCACTTATGACTGTTTTATAAGCTTGAGGGACACAGAGGCCCTATTAGTTTAATGTGCTGTTGTGTAGATGTGAACATCAGAATCATGGTTAGAAGGGAATTTAAAATGTTCCCCCAGCATCATTCCAGACAGATGAGAAGGCATCCTTTAAAAATTCTCCAGAGAAGAATCTTCCACAGTCAACTATTTTAGCTCATCCCAGTGTTTAATAATCCTTATTGCCAAGACATTTTTTTTCCTTTAATGCAATCCTTTCTGCTGTAGTTTAAATCCATTTCTTACAGGCACTGTTAGTGGAGCTGAAGACACCATCATCCATGCTAGTTTTTAATGCAGGCCTCTTATCTGCAGAAGAAAATTCTTTAATCTTTTCCCACTTCCCAACCCTTAGAAATGAACCTTTTAGCCAGGCGTGGTGGCTCACCACTGTTATCCCAGCACTTTGGGAGGGCAAGGTGGGTGGATCACCCGAGGTCAGGAGTTTGAGACCAGCCTGGTCAATATGGTGAAACTCCGCCTCTACTAAAAATACAAAAAAAAAAAAAAAAAAATTTAGCTATGGTTTTCACAGTTTAAAGAGATTTGGATAGGCCAGCGTTTCTCAAAGTGTGGTAGCCGAATGACAACATCAGCATCACCTAGGAACTTGTTAGAAAGGCAAATGCATCTTTTCTGAACTATTTTATGTAAAAAAGAAAGAAAGAAAGAAAGAAAAAAGAAATGCAATCCATGTTTTCACAAGCCCTCTCAGTATTGTGAGGCATGCTGACCTTTGGGAGCCACCGGCACAGGCGAAGCTCAGAGAAGTGCCATCCCCTCATTATTTCCCCTGCATCTGCTTCTTCCTAGTTTGGTTTTGTATTTTTCACTAGAGAACATGTTAATTTATCTTTTGCCATTTCCTAAACTTTGAGGAGCTGCTATGCTAGCTGGGGAAGCCGGCTTCCCTACAGAAAGGTTCTGAGTTTGCAGGAACCATACCTGATTTTTTGTTGTTTTTTTTTTTCCTAACTCTGGTAAAATATCCGTAACATAAAAGCTACCACTTTAACCATGTCAAGTGTACAGTTATGTGGCACTAAGTACATTCATTTCCTCGTGCAACTATCTCCACTATGCATTATCTTCCCAAACTGAAACTGTGTAGCCTTTCAACAGTAACTCCCTATTGAGTGCTGTGTGCTAACGGCATTCACGTGGTTGTGCAACCCATCTCCAGAATTCTTATCGTCTTGTAAACCTGCAACTCTGTGCCCGTTAAACCAGTCCCCTTTCCCTCTCCACCCAGCCCCTGGCAACCCCCATTCTGCTTTCTATCACTATATATTATAAATTCACTACTTTGGATGCCTCATAGAAGTGGAATCATGCAGTATTTGTCCTTTTATTTCACTTAGCATAATGTCTTTAAGGTTCATCCATGTTATCGCATGTGGGAGATTTCCCTTTCTTTGTAAAAATTTTAATTGTATTTCTATACTTTAGAATCCCCTTCTTTGTAAAGGCTGACTCACACTCTACTGTATGTATGGACCACATTTTCTTTATCCGTTCATCCATCCATGGCATTGGCTTGTTTCTACCTTTTGACTACAGTGAATATTGCTGTTATGAACTTGTGTGTACAAATACCTGAGACTTCTTCGCAGCTTTCCTGGCTGAGTCCACTGAGATTCCTTAGACACTGCCCCATCTCTTACCTGAGCCAAATATGGGGAAGATAAGAAATTGATTAATAATCTGGTAAAGTTTAGAATTAAGTCACAGCTAGGCACATTGGCCCATGCCTGTAGTTCCAGCCTGGGAGAGACTGAGGCAAGAGGATAGTGCATGCTTATAATCCCAGCTACTCAGGAGGCTGAGGTGGGAGGGCCTTCAGGAGCCCAGGAGTTTGAGGCTGCAAACCTCAAACTTTTACAGGGCTTTGGGGAGGAAGTGCTGCACTCCAGCCTGGACGACAGAGTGAGACCCTACCTCTAAAAAATAATGAAAATTTTAAAAATGAGAATTAAGTTACTAGTTCAGGTGTGGGTTCTGGACTGTAGATAAATGGTAAGTTTTTCTATCACCCCCAACTCTTCCTCCTGCAAACTCCCTCCTCAAAGTATATTGCACAGGAGGAGATGCATGCATGTATCATACAGTGCCAGGCTCCTAGCCCCTGGGACTCCGGCCAGCCAAGAGAAGAGCCTGGTCTATGCATTGAATAACTGAACCATAATTGGAGCCCAGGATCCCTTAGTGAAAACTGGGGGTTCCCAGAACATCTCTACCCGCTCGCCCAGTGTCCAGAACTGAGCTCTACTAGCCCTTGCTGCTTACTCTGATGGTCCAAGCCGGTGCTCTCAGCATGAAGCCCTTCCTGCTGTCCCAAGGCCCAGCCTTTCAGAGTCATTCCTGACCCCTTTCCTGATCGTGCTGCCTTGCTTTTCCTGCTCCTGATGGCCAGCTGGGGTTTTGCCATATAGAGACTTCCGGGGGACACTCTGGACTTCAGTTCATATTCCATGCCTCCATCCTTCAATAGCAGCAGCGCTCCTGCCTCGCCTGTCTTTGGCCTCTGGGAGCCGCGCTCAGAATTAACACTGAGAGACCCCGGCCTGCGCCACTCTGCTGTGCATCGCGTCTGGAGCTCAGGCTGTGCAGGAAGTTGGGAAGAGGACAGAACACATACTCACTGGTTGATCTGCAGCTTCGTGGCCTTCGTGCCGGCAAGCCACAGCTGTCCAAGCAGCCCTGCGGGGCGGCAGAGGAAACTGTGAGATGTAAAGTCTTCTAGACTCAGAAGGCGCTGGGTTGGGGCCAGATGTGAGTCAAGAGATGCGGAAGATGTTTCATATTCCCCTTGATTCGCACCAGCTGTCCTGGGAACCCACAAATGGGACTGATGATGGATGTTTATTTTCCAAAGGACATTTTCCTCATTTATCTTGAATTTGTCATTTAAATTCTTTGGAGGAGAATTAAAAACCCTACTGGATAATGAAAGACAATTCCTGCCAAGTGAAACTTACCATTCTAGAAATGATTAGCCATCCCCTTCACCCTCACCTAACCATCTAGATGTTTTGGTCCAGTCGCCAAAGCTTGGATTTGAGCTCTAGGTTGAGGATGCTATGGTCTCCTTGCATATTGAAGACTGTGCCAGTTCAACAAGACTGACTCCCATCAGTCTTTCAGGCTCCTGTCACAGTAGGAGGAGGAATCTGGAAGACAATGTTAGGTGCTGAGATCTCTGTTGAAGTCAGTGGAATGTGGAAAGTTTAGAATCAAAGCATTTACCAGAATTATTCTTCTGATACTCTAGAGGATTTGCTGTATGAATATGCAATTCTAGTGTGTCATTTATAAAAACATGTTTAGTATTTTCATCTTTATAATATTTATTGAGAGCTATGCATATATAGCACTGTGATGAAACTCTTTATATAACTGACACCTCTGGTTAATATCTTTCATTGGCCATGTGAGCTTCAATTTGTATACTGTGTGAAAGCAGTGAAATTTTTGACTTTCAAATACCACTCTTCAGTTGTCAGCAGGACAATAAAGTATTCAGAATTAGTTTGGTAGGCAGTGCTTACTGGGCATATTATTGCCTTTTGCTTCTCTGTTGCTACATATAACACATTAAAGAAAATTATATTTTTGGAACCCATTTTCACACACACACACACAGCTTGGAAGAGAGAAAAGAGATGGAGCTATTTTAGGATCTGTATTTTCAAAGAATAGCAACTCTCTAAGTGACAAGAGAGCAAGTAGAACCAACTTTATAATTAAAGGATGGTGTAGGTTGTAGAAAAGGGATGATACAGGTTTGGAATGATGAATAAGACAGTCCTTACTCTTAATAAGCTTGCGTTCTAGTGGAGTGTGGGAGACCAACATATCAAAATAGTAGTGACCACATGTCCCCAGTCCAAATTTGGGATATGTGGTCTCAAAAGAATGGGTGCACTTTCTGGGGACAACTGGACCACCTGTTTGAAAAGCTAGCAGATTTAGGACATGTAGTTGCTGTACTTAGAACAGAAGACGGGGTAAGAAAAGCTGTTCAGGAGGCATGTGTAGTTGCTACGCAGCTTTTGGGAGGAAGGGCTCGCAGCATCACACTCCCCTTCAGGCTCCACGATGCAGCTAGTTCAGCGCCTACTTCTGGACCGTCTACCCTTTGCAGATACTAAACTAATAGTTGTTGTGCCATGCTCCAGAGCAGCTCCACACTTTCCTTTAAACCAGTCCCATGCGTGTGTGAGCTGGCCGTCTGGGCTTGGGTCTTGAAGAAACTTCCCTCTTTGGGTTCATACATGTGTGTGCAAGAACGCTGTTGGGGTGAAGAGGCTCTGACACTTTAGGGTGGCATCAGGGGCACAGGCTCTCCCCTAAATTCAACTTCAGAAATACAGATTTAAAACAATTCTTTTGAGAAGTATTGCATATCTATAAACTAAAAAAAAGGAGAAGAAAAAGAAAAGAAAGAAAAAAATCCATTTGGCATGAAGGGGACTGGATATTCATCTATTGCTAGTGGTACTAACAATAGGTGTATTCTATTTTTTCTTTCTTTTTTTTTTTTTTTTGAGACAGAGTCTCACTCTATTGCCCAGGCTGGAGTGTAGTGGTGCACTCTTGGCTCACTGCAACCTCCAACCCTTGGGTTCAAGCAATTCTCCTGCCTCAGCCTCCTGAGTAGCTGGGATTACAGGCATGTGCCACCATGCCTGGCTAATTTTGTATTTTTAGTAGAGACAGGGTTTCATCATGTTGGCCAGGCTGGTCTTGAACTCCTGATCTTAGGTGATCCACCCGCCTCAGCCTCCCAAAGTGCCGGGATTATAGGCATGAGCCACCATGCCTGGCTTGTGTATTCTTATAGAAAAGGAATCTGGCACTACGTGAGAGGGTATCAAACACTTTAGACCCTTTGATCCAATAGTTCAACTTGGGAAAACGTACCTCAAAATGAAAACATAAAACATTGATTTTCTCTTCTACAAAAAAATCAATTATAGCACTGTAAAATGAACAATGGGAAACAACCAATACTCCACAATGCAAAAACATTAATTAATAAAATCTTTTTAGCCCCTAGATATTGTGAGAGTACACCAGTAAATGAGAATGTGTAAATGAAATATTTAGTGAAGAAAAGTAGAACATGAAGTTATATGTACATACTGATTACAGCTTTGTAAGCCAATGGACATATGAATATATATCCGAAGAGACTTTTTAGGAAAGGAATCACTGTTTAGTGTTTATGAGATTTTTCTGTAAGTTGTTGGCATTGATATTTTTTTTAGGAAGGAAGAGTGAGTATGGCAGGGGTATTAGTTGAACTATTGAGGTTTGAATCTCACTGAGTTTTTTGTTGGTTTATGTTATTGAGAGGCATGGTGCAAGTAATTTGTGACTAAGAGTGAAAGGATAATATTTTAATATTTTAATAAACTACAGGTGATTCAACGTTGTCTCTACAATGAAGTCACTACCACACGCTTGCATTTTGAGATGCTTTCTTTAGTGGCAGCAGAAGGGACAGAGCCCCTTGCCACCTTGTAGTTATTATTGGCTCCTGGTCCTGCGAGTGTGAATGTCAGCTGCCATTCACATGAGGGAAGTTGGAACTGACGAACTGTTGTGATGTGTATGACAGTCTTGTTCCCTAATCATTCATACCATGCCACCTGATCTCTTCAGTCTCAGAAATAATTACATTTCCTCTTTCCATCTCATGCGAAAGCCTGCCCACTGGAGTAGGCAGAAGAGTAGGTCCTTCCTACTCTTCTCAGTAGGAAGGCTTCTCAGCTAAGAGGAGAGGAAGGCTTCTCAGCTAAGAGGAGAGGAAGGCTTCTCAGCTAAGATCCCCAAAGGAGCGGTGCCCAGGTGTTCTCTGCAGCTTCCCCGTCTCAACGACCTCCTAGTTCTGACATCCAGTAAACGCTTTCCTTGAGCTCACTGCAGCATTGCATGCTGGGACAACTCGTCTCCTTGAAACTTTCCTTGGGGTTATGCCCGACTCTAGCACTTAGGAGAAGCTTGTACAGATCAGGCAGAAAAGGGCTTCCCCTCCGTGGAAGGCCGGCGCTTCTGTACTCCCTCGGGGCCACCCTGATCCCATGCAGAGAACAGAGTAGAGAGGCAGGGCTCAACCCCCCATGGGGCTGCTTCCCTGCCAGTCTGCCTGGCATCCTAACTCCATAAGGTGGCAGTAGGGAAGGAGACTTCTGACAGCAAGAAGCCTGCAGAAACAGCCAGACCCAGCCAGACCCAGACCCAGAATTGAGAGTGGGTCTAGGAACCACTCCTCTGTGCACGTAAGCTGCAGCCAGGCCATTCGGAAGGAAGTGAGGACATTTCCCCCTGGAATCGCCTAGCTTCTGTCAGCTCTGTGTGACATGGATGGAAATACATCCCACTTGCCTTGCTAGCGAAACTCCCCACCCCTGCAGAGTCAGCTGCGGGAACGGAGGCAGCCAGGATGGTGACGCAGGATGGAGGGCGGCCTCCCCCACTCCACGGAGGGCCACAGGACCCAGTGGGCAGCAGATCTTTAGCCTGTAAAGGAGAAAGCAGCCAACCCGAGCCAGGTTGGGCCTCCCTAGCAACACCCTGGCTCGTGGTTCTGTCCCGCAGTCAGAGGCTGGTCCCTGACTTCCCTGGTTTTGTGTGATAACCTAAGTATGAACAGGCAGGCCCTGACTGCTATGGACAGGGACACAGGGAGACCCTGGCTATCCTCCCCAAGTCCTGTGGCTGGTGGTGGCAGAGAAGCTGCTGACCCACAGATTCCCCTGTTACAGCCCCTGGAGGGGTGGCCGCTCACACTCTTGCGTGCAACTCTCCCCGAAGGCTTGTCTGTTTTCAATGAGAGACTCCTTTCTGGGTTTCCCGTCTTAATCCTTCACCTGCAGGAATGCACTGGTCAGCTTTTTCCATGAAGCCTAAGTCTCCGTGGCTTTAGAGTTGGACGTCCTGGTGGTGGTCTCAAGGCACACCCAGGGCAGGAGACTGAGAAGGGGAGGTGGAGAGGGGTGTGTGTGCAGGCTCTGGTGGGGCGTAGGGTTCAGGACACAGCCTGACCCGATCCTGTCTCCGGGGCAGGAATGTGAGCCCTGGCAGCGGCAGGCCCAGTGGGTCTTGAGGGGAACAACACCTGAGCCCCTCACAGGCCACTAATGGGCTCCTTGGAACTGAAGAAAGAGTAAGAAAGTCACTTCTGCCACGTGTGAACGAGCAGGGCCAGCAGCCTCAGAGCAGGCGCTGGCGAGTGGCTTTCCTGCTCCCCTTCACCTGCTGATGGGAGCCTTTCCCAGCTGCTGGAGCCGGGAATAGGCTGCAGGTGGGTCCTGTCTGCAGACTGCAGGGACGGCGGTGGAGGGACTGGGCTCCCTACACTAAGGCAGCGGCTGCCCCCGTGACACTGACCGGTGAAAAAGTCTGGAGAATCCCCAGGTCTCAGGGCAGAGCCTGACTTGGGCAATTAGCCCATCCCCCTACACAGCCGGTTTCCACCTCCTCATTTTCTGTCTTTCTCTGCCTGTGACTTCTCTCCCCCGCATTCACGGCCTTATACCACCTTTCTAGGTCCTCTCCTGTTCTTTCTTTTTCGCTCCATGACCCTTTGCTCTTTCTCCCTCCTCCTCTTCTCTGATGCCGTCAGCTCCTGGTTCTAACTAAATAGAATGTGCTGCTTGTAGCCTAATGATATCCAGCCCCAGGGATTTGACAAAACACAAAACAGAAACAAAC